TTAGTCTACACATAATAAGCAATACATTTATCATTACTATGACCACATACCATTCAAAGTATGCCTGCTGCTACATCATTACAGGCCTCCTGCAGGCCTCATTTGATCCATGTTAGAGTATCAGGGCTTTGCTGAATACTGCTGTTAGAACTGCATTTAACCAGTCTTTGCTCACTCTTTCGTTTGTACTCACTTATATTTAAGCCTTAACAGGACAGCTGTAGGCATAGCTGTGGGTATTTAAGCTTCAGATAACTAAACTACTTATATTTACTACCTTTAAGCCCCACTAAAATCTCTGCAGCAAAAAGAATACATAATTTTTTAACAATAAACTGTAGAGGTCATAAAACCAGGTATATTCCACTTTGTAAAGTCCCTTTATCTCCCAATATTTAACTTTTTAATTCAAATGCTTAAAATTACATAATTATTATAATCTATTTCTTAAACCAGGTAAAGTGAAGAGACAATGTGGTTAGTCCTGAGGGAAGATTAAATGCAACATATTTCTTCCGGCGTCCAAAAAGAAAGCACAGTAACAACAAGCTAGAAGAAAGCAGGGCAACACCTAAGTCACATAAAGCCCAAGATTACATGGAGACCCACACACACAGAAGTTACTAAATGACCATCCCTCTCCCATCACAAGCTTTCTTGATTCAAGTCACCGTGCCACCATCACTCATCCATTATGAAAACTCTGAGACCTTCTTGCATGCATATTCTATCACATTTAGTTTCCAAAACATGCCCACCACTGTGCCTCTCCAGTCTAAATGTACTACCACTTGCTACTTGAAGTCATATACAGCATTCAAACCAGGCTGAATTTGAAAAGCTGAGATGAAACAACTGTCTCCATTATCTGAAGGATCAATGCTTCCCAGTTGCTTCAAATATTAAAGCTGATCATTTTCAGTTGGTATTTGCTCTAGATATGTTCCATCTTGAAAAAAAATCCTTTTTTACTTAAAATTAATCCACAATTACCAAAGTCTAGAGAATGTTCCTATCTCCAGCAAGTTGCTTTGTCAAATGCAAGACAACTGATGGAACCCTACAAAATCACTATAAATAACATACAGTAGTAAACATATACTAGTAAACAATCATCTTTGGTTCCTAACGTTTTAAATAAGTTACAGCTAAATTCCATGTCTTTTTAGAATGACTTTTTTTCTCTCTATAATAAGATTCTTGCTCATCTTGCTCTTTTTTTTTAACCAAGGACAAAAAAGCAATGCAGAATTGCAACTGCAAGTGCAACTATGGGCTTATATTAACTAAAAGAGCATTGTGAAACAGCTGTTTACTATGTATTTGAAAAAAGCACACCATATAACATTCTGAGTTCTTCTAAAAATTGTCACCACTATTCTCATGCTTCTGACCACATTCTATGGACTTGAATTTTCTCCCTCTGCCTGTAATCCCTACACTTTCCTTTCTCACACTAATAACTTTTGAACAAGGTTAATTATGGCTATTTTATGCTGAAGTACTATCAACTGGAAGGGAGTGGCAGAAGGCTGGCATAGCCAACAACAAGAGTAACACAGAAAACATGAATCTGTGGCACCCAGCAACATCTGATAAGCTTAAAGTCCATAAATGTATTTACATATATTAACTTCCTCAAGCAATTTTTAAGAATTTAAGCAAGCAGATGCTTTGGAAGTTCTCTGGCTAATAACAAAGGTCCACTTTACATTATGAGAGGTATCCTTCCCTAAGATAATACTGACTGTTTTCTTGCAACGTTGAGCCACGTTTTAAAGCTATGTGAAGCTGTAATAAACATCAGATCTGATCAAGCACCTGTAGCTTGTTTATTAAATCACTATAAAACAAATGGTTTTGCTTGCAAGCAATTCTAAAACCAGTTAAAAGTTCAAATTCATGTGGAAGTTGGTTAAGCTTTCTTCAAAGAAATAATTATATATTCTCTTAGTTACTAAAAACAATCTTTATGTTAAAGGTAAACTCTTACGTAAAATTTCAAGAAGTTGGGCAATAGATCAGCATAAAAATACATTCAAAATAGAAGTATTTAACACAACAGGAAGGAGAACCTGGAAATTTTCTTTATTGTTTGTTCAAAATATGATCTCTCGAAATATTCAAGCTTCAGTTGCAGTATCCTACACAGATTACACATAGATGCACACCCACACACAAAGATTTAGGCCCTTCTTTAAAGGGCATTAATTACTATGGCAACTACTGTCACTGACATAGGCAGCTCCATTTATTTTATCATTGCTTGTCTACCCCTAGAAACACTAGAACCCCGTGACATTTACAAATACAGTTCATAATCCAATTTTATCCTACTTTATCCAATAATTATCTGAAATTTACTGTCTTTCTAAAATCAAGTAACATGCATTTTAAACTAAAGGAATACACAAGACAGATTTTGTCATAAAAACAAATATAATGAAGATTCCTGCTCAAACTTTTATGTAATTCCCAGTAACTTCAGAAGACTGAAACACATACTAGAAACTCTAGAAATGCATGAATGCATGCCTCACTGTCCTTCTGTATCCAACACTGAAAATGTCACTGTGGAACATATTCAGAAACAGAAACCACCCCCACCCCATCCCCCAATCATTATTTTTTGTATTATATACCTGGCTTCCAAACCACTGATAACTAGGTGTTCAACTGATACAGAGAATCACAAGCAAGAGCTTGTTTCTGTGTTTTCATACATTTTAATAATATATCTACACCACCAAATTAATATTACATTTTATTAAAATATACACAAAAGATATAACCAAATTGCAAAAAAATAAAAATGCAGACTCCAAAGTGCTAGTATAATTGTTGTGCATGCCATCTTCTAGTAATTAAGCTTGTACCACATTATAAATACACATAAATATATAAACAAATTTACATATTGTCCTACTGAATCTCTGCCTTGAACAATGCACAGAACAATTAAGAAACAGTTATTCAGTATTTTACATTATTTGCTCAATGCATGACCTTCTCTTTACAATATTTACCTCTATCTCTAAATAAACAGAATTACTGAAGTGTCCTTTCTACAGCACTCAGTGTTACAGGAACTAATTTCATATTTAAAATAACCCAAGAGACATTATTTTCAGAGATAGAAAGCAAAGGAATATAGATATCCACAAAGGTATACAGTACCCATTCATTTTAGATGCTCATTTTAAGACAACTTTTTTTTTAATTCTTTGCATTGCATGGTACCTCGCAGATTAAAATAGCAAAGCTTCTTTTGAGTTGCTTGTGGATTCAGCCACTCAGCAATCCCTCTATTTAGGCCTTAAGATCTTAGGCGTACTCTAAAAAACTAAAAAGGAATGAGTAATTGCTGGCTTGCTGTGAAAAGTCTGGTTTAGGAGCTTGTCTGGTGCCATTGAGAAAGCTTAAGACAAAGCAAAGGAGTTCAGTTCTCCTGGGCAGCATTTAACAGTCTTAACCTTGAATCTCGACTTTCCTCTTTCTGCATATTCCTGTTACACTCATTACACACCCTCCAACTACATTGCTAGGTCAGGCAGAGTAATACATGGTACTGGCAGCTTATGGTGTAATTACAGAACATTTCTATTCTGTAAGAACTGAAACAGAAGGGGGCGGAGAAGAAAAGCATAAATCTGCAGAGTGTAAAAAAACCAGCAAGACTTGGTAAACTTTAGTTTCTTTGCCCTTTGTAGACTACACTGCACTCCGTCTGCACAAGCTTTTCTGCTCAGTTCCTCCAAGTTTGGTCCCATTAGTTCTGCTGCTGTCCAACCTCAGGTTCCTTGTCTCACACCTCTTCTCTTTGCCCTGTTTTTGTGATTCAGGAATCTCCTTGCTAAGCTTGACATAATCTTTTCTTCTAGACTTACTCTCTTACCTCCACTCTGCCTACTAGTCCCAATTCCTATCCTCCTCTCATTTTTTTGTCCAACCTGCACTTAACCATCCACAGCATTTCCACTAGTCAGCCTCTCTATCCCCCTTGACTGACATACTAGTTTCCCCACAGCTACCAACAACCCCCCCCTTAAATTACCCCCGATGACTCCTTTGCTAGCTCTGTTGTCCCAGGTTCTTCCTCCCTTTATTAACCATTTGCCAGCACTTCCTCCTCCTCAATTAATATGCCTTTTTTTTCACCTGTCCTCATTTTCTTCTCTGTGGCTTCCAGATTCCTTCACTTGTAAATCATCTCAGCAAGTACTATTTCCCTCATCCTGCTCACACTATTATTGTTCTTTTGACCTCCCTTTTCTATCCTGCTTGGATGACAACAGAAGATCCTTAAAAGCACAAGAAAGAGAGGCTTCCCTTTTTCCTTTCACCATCTTGTCTGACCAATTACTAAGCCCTGAAAATTTTACTGCAGCACACTCACTCTGCAAAAAAAGCACATGTGCAGTGCAGTCATGCTCACATCAAAGAGGTGCTCTGGAAATCTAAGGGATTTTAGCAGCTAAAGACACGGCTATTTCTACACACATAAATTGATATTTTTCAGAGGGTATGCTAATCTGCACGAAGTGTTGTAGCTCTCCATAGAGAAAACAACATATATAGAGCAGATAAAAGCCATCCTCTTAAGAGATTTCCAGACCTAGCTCAAATTTATGAATACTACAGCATTCCACATAAAATGTCCCAAGAATTTAGTAAGGCAGGATAATTTTACTAGGCTTTTTCTCAGTACCAGTTGAGCTATTCTGAGCAAGTATCTTCCCAAAAACTATTTCAGTCTGAGGAAGATATCCTGCATAGAAAGGACTAAAAGGACGTTTCTGTCCAAACAGGAAGAGTTGCATGCACTTCAGAGTGCTTGTTTTCAATGGAAAGCAGAGACATTAACACACAGAACAACTAATTATTTTTCAGTGACATTTACTTTGGAGCTGTAAGAGACACCTAAGAAATTGTGTTTCCATTAGTTCATCTGCTTTCTTAAAGCGGTTGGTTAAAACACAAGTTATTGCAGTTTAACTTACCGAACATTTTCTGGTCTCAATTTATCCAGCACCATTTCTATTAAATCAGGCCTGAATTCTTCAAGCAAATACTCAGCTGCCAATACTTCTTCTATAGGATAATACTAAAAAAACAAAGCCCAGAAACACATAGATGTATTAAACAAAAACTAAGCATGAAGAAACTACTGTTTTGTAAAGGAAATACAAGTGTATATTTCTGGTCACTAAATCTGTAATACCTCGGCAATTTCAAATTAGAAGTGCATAGATGTCTTTAAATCTTTCTCTTTAAACAAAATGGAGTAGTACTCTATGTAATAATTTCTCCTATATTAGGTAGTTTTATATATTGTGTATTACCATTCTTTTCTGTTGAATACTTTATGTTTCAATATAAAAAAATCACCCATCTTTAAACACTGCTTTGAACTAACTAAAGTAAAAATAACATGGTAAATGCTGACCCCTGCAGGATATTTTTAAAGATAAAAGAACACCAAGTACTCACTGGAGTGCATTTGAGAAAAACAAAACATAACAAAAGAAGGAAAGAAAAAAAAAAAAACACAAAACAACCCATACACCAAAATCCAACCACCACTAAGATTTTTTTGATTCTTTAAGAATTCAATTTTTGTTTATAGTATTTAAAGGAAAGTTTATTTCAATTATATAAAAACATAATACAAATTTCCACCATTTTAATACAAACATTTTTTTTATTCAGAATCAAACTGAAATTCTCTTAAGGTACACTGCAACTTAAGAAGAAAACCAATTAAAATTTAAAAATGATTAGTGTTGTTGACAGGATAACTCTGTTGATAAACATCTGTTTACCAAGGGAAAAATACAAGGTGACCTAAGCACCAAGTACTTCCAGTTTGCCATACAAGTGTAATCCTTTTGACCAGAATTGTTATAAAATGGCATTCTAAATTGCATACATTATACAAAAAACTACAGTGGAACGACTTCCAGAGCAGAGTAACTCACACAAAGAATTTTGGAAAAGAAAAAGGGCTGAAGGGGGTGGGTGGGCTGGAAACCAAGAAAAGTGACCCAAACAAGTGCTATAAAAAATTCAGATGTGAATGTTAAAGATCCAAAATTTGAAAGGTCTTGTCCAGAAGATTCATTGTACACTGAAGAATATTCATTTAACTACATTCTTCATAAACAGCTAAACAGAGTAAGTAACTTGAAGGAGAGATCTTATGTAACCTAAGCACTTCTAATCTGAAAGTACCAAAGCAATACAGATGTAGTGACCAAAAGTCTACAATTTATTTCCTTTACAAACACAGGCCACAGTCTGCCCACCAACAGGAACTAAACGTAAAATTTATTTGATTGCTTTGTTATTTTTGTATTGCCTGAGCAGGCAGGTTGGACAAGATGACCTCCAGAAGTCCAGTCCAACCTCAACCATTTTGATTCTGTGATTACTTTTCATCAAGGTCAGAAAATAACATAAGTAAAATAAAACAAACTAAACCAATCTAGATACACCAATCAGATTAAATTGAAATTTTTAAAATGATACAATTAAGGAGACAAAGCAAAACAAAAGAAAAAGGGCACTACCAACTGGGGAACAAAACCTGGAAAACATCAAGCCTACACATGACAAATATGAAATATAATTTGACAGCAAGACCTTAGTGTTGACTTCTCAGACCAACACAATTGTGCTTTAAAGATGAACTTTTGCTTTGTGGAATAAACAGGGGTTTTTAAATCCTTTTGGTAAATATGTCACAACTTATGACATGACATGACATTTACTCATGCTAACTCATACAGAGGTTCTTCTCCGAGTTAAAAAAAGCAACTAGTATTCATAAGCACATGAAATCACCAAACAACAGTTCTATCTTGGTTAATTCAAAGCATAAACTTAGTATGACTCAGAGGCAATAAAGAGACCTAGAAAAGTGGGGGGTTTTTATTAGCATTTAAGCAACTAATAGCAGAATCAGAATTACCATTCATACTGCAAAGCACAGCAAAAGAAAAGCAGTGGGAACAAAAAAGTCCTGAATCAATACCCTGCTCTTTGGAACACTGCTGGCAACTTCCTGGCCTGATTCTTGGACACAGCAATTGTAATCAGGAATGATCCAACAAATATACACCACTGAAAGACTGTTACAGAAGTCAGAAGTCCATTTGTTAAAGAGATTTCATGCATTTGACAGAAGAGACAGTAGCCCAAATAGGAGCTCCTTTAAATATCCATTTAAATGTCTTCAGTTAAGTCTAATGCTTTTTGTAAACAGAAAGACAATTCTAAAATTAAAGATCATTATTTTAGAGTTTAATGTATAAAGGTATAGGAACATTAACAGGAATTCCTGCAAAGAAACCAAAAATGCCACTGAGTAGACATTAGCTGTGCAATGGAGAATGGCTGCAGTGTATAGAATTGCATGAGTTTCACTAAACAAAAAAATCCCACATAAATCATCCTTTAGTGCAAAATGAGGGAACTGAATGTTGCAAAAAGTATGAAGACTAAGTATGAGCTACACTATGATTCTTTCAGTACTGATATGTAATCACACTTGTAGAGTCAAATATTTCTAATTTGCGATCTCAATACAAACATTTCTGCTTGCTTCAGTATTTCAACATTGCTAACTATGGAAGCATTTAGAAACAGTGCTTGTGTTTATGATAAAATATTATTTCTCTAATATTTCCCTAGAGAACATTTAACTATTAGGTAGACACAGAATGACAAGGTACATATTTCTTAATACTGAAACAGATCAAATAGCAACTCCAGTCACTGTAAAGTCAATTCTACCAAGTACAGAAGTATAAAATGGTAAGAGTTAAAGAAATGTGACTTACTGACTGCCAAAACTTAAAATCTGTGCAGCATGATATTAGCTTCCTAAGCTCATGAAGCGCAAAGGACCTTTGCAAATACCTGTATTTATTAAGAGTATAAAAACTCATACTGCTAAATGATTACCATATTGTAAAAAAACCCCAAAAAATGAACAAACAAAAAACCCACACACACTTACATGCAACATTCCTCCAAGCTTTGATGTATAGCCTCGTGGTCGTTCTTTATCTTTAAATCTGAAAGCCACAGCATTTAGATCCTAGGAAACAATGTAGGAAGGGTTGAAAAGCATGTATTAGAGACTATTTTAAGAATAATTATTGGCTACTCAATTCTTTTATAATGTAAGAAAAGGGAATTTTGTTGTAGCTATTTTATAGTAGTTAGGTACCTAACACGACAGTTTTCAGTAATATTCAAGTTGTTCAAAACTCACAAGTAATTTTGGGTAGTCTCACAATGTGAAGTGTTATACAAGTCTTCTAAGTCCTGTTTGTAGCAAGAGATCTGTTCCATAATTCAAATATTTAAATTTGCTGATAATTTGAAAACACACCAACTTCGATACAACCAATACATAGCATTCCAGTGCAGTGTTCATTGTATGTTAATGAACTAAAGCTTTTCCCTCTTCTTTTTTTGTTCCTTTTGTTCAGTTACCCAAAAGGTAAGTTTAGAGACAGAACAAGTGTGTTTCTTTAGGCTGTCTTAGCCACAGTAATGGAAAACATCATTCTTAGAGTACAATGGCAAGGGTGAATCAGAGATCTAAGACTATAAAGACAATAGAAAGGACAGTCCATCCTTCTATGAAACCATGCAAAGTCTGGTTAATTCAACAATTCAGCTGAAAATAAACTCTCAAGAGATTCTTTTCCAACTAGCTTGCCAGCTCTTCTAACTCAACTCACAGCCTCAGGAGTGCTAGGGCTAATACAAGAGGAGCAAGGGAAAGACAAAAGGATGAGATGAGAGGATGGAACTACCTCTTTCAAACCTTGTATTTGCTTACGATGTCAGTGAAACAATTCCATTGGGACTTCTAGCAGAGGGTAAAAAGATTTCTACAGATATACAGTATCAAAATGCACAAAACAAAGTTAACATATCTGCAGAATTTCTACTCTAAAAGAAGAGATTCAACAGTTCTCACCAAATAAAGCTAAATTCTACTCTAAAAGAAGAGATTCAACAGTTCTCACCAAATAAAGCTAAGATGGAACAAGAAATCTTTACCCAAGTATTTGTTGGGAACCAATGAGACTATATATAAATCTAATACTGGTTTTATTTCACACAGTCACTGAGAAATGCAGTACTATTTACTTCTAATAGGATACTTTACATTTTTGCTCTGTGCACAAAGAACAATACAGACTTAGAAGAAGCATGATCAGTTCAGCAAAGACAAGTGTAAGCCAAAATACTCCATGAAGTTTTAGTTCACCTCTCAAAAAGGTAAGAGAACAAAACAGCAGATTACATGCCCTAGTGCCTTTACAATCCCAACTATACAATTTGATACGTGAAGGAAGAGAGGAGTAGAGTAACAGCCATTTCAATTTCCAATTCAATGTCACCCCTCACTTCAGTGAAGACTAAGGAAGGTTATGCAAAATCCTTGCAGACAGAGTAAGATACTTCTTCCTCCGCCTCCATTATGCTAACATAAAATGCCAACTCACAGCTCTGTAAGAGCATTTCACATATACTTTAAGACAATATATTCTGAAAGTACTCGTCATTTCTGTCACGTTGCACCTTTAAAATTAATAAACTTAATTACCATGCGATTATTATAGGGTATTTCCACAGCCAAGGAATCTGTTTCTACTTACAATCCAAATTTGTAAAAATACAATCACTGCATATTTCAAGTACCAATCACTGTACCTTGCACTCTTGGAAAACCCATTCTTGAGGTCCTTCTGTACGTAGTTTTTGAATATACTGAAACATGTGTAAAATAATATCTTCAACGTGCACTGGAAAGAAAAAAATACTTGCTTAATAATTCACTTGGTTCTGCACAAAGAAAAAATTCTGATGAACACAAATATGTAAGGTTTTATTTTTAATTACACACTGATAAGGTATTTAAGTACATATGCAATCCCACTGGCAAAGTTAAACATGTTTTTCCCAGACATGAATTTAAGTAAGTGTTTCTGTCCCCATCTAATTCTAAGAGCCGCACTGAACATGTCTTATGTTAAGACACTGATTTATAATATAATTTAACTCAGGTCCAAATAACATGAGTAAGTAGCATACAAAGGTTCTGACAGTTTTTCTTTTAAAGAAACTTACTTTAAGATATTTAATGAAATACTTCAATATAACCTCAAATAAGTTTATTTCTTATGTTAGATGAAGTGTGCTAGCATACTGAAAGGATCCAAACACAGAAGAATAATCAGTTAATTTCAATAAATTGGCTTTCAAGCTATAAACACATTTAGTCTCTTTGGATACAAACACAAACCCAGCAGATCAGAAATAACATGGAATGCAGACATAGAGCTTCACTTACAAAGTCCTTCCTCTGTCAAGTCTACATTAATGATGAAAAACATGAAACCTCTAGCACCTTCCTTCTGTCCTCCAACAAGAGTATTTACCCATCCTGTGAAATCAAAAAGAAAATCTATTACATAAACATATCTGTTACAATTCATGCAACCTTTTGTATGCTTCAGCAACATTAAGTTCTACTTTTTTTTTTTTTTAACATTTTGACCACTTGACCCGTTCTCCTTCTGTTCCTTAATGCCTACAGCAACAGTGCAAGTCACAACTCAGACCTACGTGATTTTGTGCTTAGGATAATATGGCAAACTCAAGATCATTTGATCACTGGGCAATTTATTTCTGCTTGGAACACAGTAATATAAAGAAAAATAGAAAAAGACACACTCTTGGAGTCTTCCAGACATTAAGAGACCTGACTGACAGTAGTCTCTAAGTCAGTGACAGAATAGATACAAGACCATTATGTCAAATTTCATATAACTCTCTAAATAGGAGTAGATAAAAGGGGAGTGAAAGATCTAATACCTTCAGTAGTCAGAGCGCCTATTATTTATTTACTTTTACCCATCATAGAAACAAAAATAAGGCACAAAATCACAACTCAAATTGCTCAAACAGTTGGGGACTTTAGATTTAACATACAGAGGTCAATTTTAAGTGAAACATAGCTAAGCTTTAAAAAAATGTGTAATAAATAATTTTTTAATTATTTACCTTCAAAGGACTTACCTTTGGCTTTAAGCTCTGATAAAAGACTCCCCGGGCCTTCATGCCCGATCAGGTGACCAAGGTAATGGCCAGGGTTTGATTTATAGTACTTCTGAAGGTCTGGTATAGGAAATGTGACATAAAGATTTCTAATGTCCTTAATGGGTACCACTTTGTAAAGTTGCTGAGGGAGGAAAATAAACAAGGAGATCCATGAACAAAAGAAAACTCTCATTACTTTACTCATCTCAGGAACACTTATAATGTTTCCTTCACACACACACATTTTATTACAAACATATCCACAAAATATCAAAAGTAAAGGTATGTAAAACCTAGGGCAACACTTTAGCTATTCGTGATGTGAAGAAAAAGAGAATTAATTATCTCTCAGTTACTTACAGCTACAGCCAAATGTACAACCTTTACTAGAAACTCAGCATGGAAAGGTGGGTGGAAAATTAAGAAAGAAATATGGAACTTAACAGGGACACTGATACAGAAGTAGTGAAGTGCAAGAGGTATTACTGAAACATACAAAAAAAATCATTTAAGGTAAACATTTGTGATGGAAGATGTACCTCTATACATACCCGGAGATGTTCTTCTTGGAAAGGATGTTCAGGAAACTCTGGTATAGGGACATTTTTATTCTCTACTTCTGAAAATAACTTTACCACTAAGCGAGTCAGCTCATCCAAGGATTCTATAATAAAGAAACGTTAGAAAAAGCATAATCATTACCTGAAGCTTCTGGCAAATTTGGATTTTGTATATTCTGTGGGGGAGACATAAGTGACACAGAGAAGGAGCTGTAATGGTATTGATGATTATTAATTTCAGAAAGGAAATCTATATTAATAAAATTTTGAACTATAACATGCCATAAGCACCATGCTTATTAAAGGAAGGCTTCAACCATGATTAAAAATAAATCCCGTAACTGAAAAAAAAAAAAAAAAAAAAAAAAAAAAATCTTTAAATTTTACTACTTAGTCTAAGCTGGAACTGAAGAAAAGACACATCAGATATTGAACATTAACAAAAATAAATATTCCACAAGAAGCTTAAGGGGCATGAAAATACAGCTGCAAATTTTCCAGAGTGGAAGCATCTTTGCCAAAACTTGGATTTTCTTCAGTCTCGGCTCACCTCCAGTACTTCACACACACTGAACCAGGGTCATCTGTCCTCAGCGCCCCAAAATTTCATACACATCCATGACCTGTTTAAGCACTTCTACTTTTACATCTATTCTAGCTTCAGCCTGCAACTAGCACTCTCAAAAAACGAAAGACCATTTGCAGAAAGAATTTGATGTTGTGCACAAATTTACCTAAACTGACCTATACAGTTTCTGTTTAAATACTGACTTCAAAACAGCTATCTGCTTAAAGAAATGCATTTTGGAGCACTTCTGAAAGTGAAAATAAGTAACACTCATTCATCAGGTTTTTTAGCATATGCCTTTCTATGGTGGGTGTTGAAGAAAAAACTAGGCGTTTCCTGTATGTCTCCAAGTACAACCTTAATCCTCAAAAGATTTCAAAAAACGGTCACCTTGTTAGTCAAAACAATCCTAGTTGGATTTAGAAAGCAGAATCTTTTCTGCCCAACATATTGTGCTCCTACACTACATAGAGAAAACCATGCAGGGAAAAAAACACTAATGCAAACCAAGATGTGTCATTGTATAATAAAATTTTGTGAACTGCAATAATTCTGTTAAGCACCACTATTCTGTATCAATGTCAGCAAAATACACATTCATTTAAGCTTTCCAACTACAGTAAGGGTTTTCTTTAGGACAGATTTCCAGTTGCCAGGGTGATTCTTACTGAATAAGTTTCCATTTAAGTCTGTATGTGATCTGCTATACTAAAGCTCTTCTATGATTACTTGGTGAATTTTGCTTTTGATTAGATAAAAAAATTAACTTCAATTCATTACTTAATTTCAGCAAACTTCTTAATATTTATTACTATTTACTAGAGAAATTATATTCTGATTCCCCCACCACTTTTTACTGACACATATGTTTATTTGCTTTACATTACATACAAAAAGTGGTGGGAAAATGAGAGAATTACTAGGCGGCACATAGCTTTAGACATCCATTTATTTCAGAATGCACAGGAGTAGAGAGATCATGGAGGACTTGCAGTGTGGAACTCAACATAGTTTTATGTTTTAGAATTTCTAACTATTTGTTTATGTATTAATTAGCAGTACTGCTACATTGATAGCAAGGTATTTCAGCAAAGCATTTATGGAATAATGCTAACAAGGTTTGGTTTCTGCAGTTTGTTTTTTGTGGGTGAAGCTCCCTGAAAATAATAAAAAAAAAAAAAAAAAAAAAAAAAAAAAAAAAAAAAAAAAAAAAAAAAAAGTGGAACTTGTGAATTTTAAATCAGTCACTAATATAAATTCTTCCAGAAAGCAATTGCATAATTCTCCAGCTTGAACAAATAACAGAGTGAAAAAAGGTATGTGTTTTTTCAGGAAAAAACAGATGCAACTTTTGTCCAAACAGCACCGCACTATTACAGTGACAATCAGTCAATCAGTTAATTATGACAAATAAGGGTGGTTGTACAGCATTTTGTATACAAGCAAACTAACAAAAAGCCTGAGAGCTGCCTTTCAAAATTTTATTTATTTTGTAAGACTGAAAGGAAAAATCCCAAAGATCAATGTTTCAAAGGCTCCTAATTTTTCTAAATACTGAACTATTTACAAGGGTAACTCACACTGAAATTTGACTGTGGAAAATGACTAGTAAAACTTAGTCCTAAATTCAGGATTTTAAACAGGAGTAATTTTTGTATTTTGTAGTAAAAAAATACATCTATGCAAACTGCAATGTTGGAAAGGTTAACAGATTTGAAGACTATTTTCTACAGTATCTGTCCTGGAATATTGTCTGTTCAGTAAAGAACTAAGGATGCCTAGAAAACTTGAAAACAGAACTGCTGAATGAGGAAGAAAATTTTAATTCAATCGTATTAAACTCTGTTCAACATCTATTCACCTTCAATTAATAAGTAAATATTTTAAAATATATTTTATTTTGCTCAGGTAAAATAAACAGAAGAAAAAATGCAAATGGGGAAGCATCTCTTTCAAATAGCAATAAAAAAAATTCACAATATTAAAAAAAGTATTTACAAGATATCTTCATCAATATTTTACAGTGCTTACTTGCAAAGTTTCCACTGCTACCAGGAGAATAAGTAAGGCATTTCCACACATGACATACATTAAGCCCTACTGGTATTACCTACTACTAACACATCAGATACCCTACCTTTAAAAAAATTTTTTTGAAAAATCTAATACATTTTACTGTTCAGCTGGCAACAGCAAAAAGAAAACAAACATCATTCACCATATTCTAATCAATGTGGTGTTACATCAGGTGAGATATAATAATAAATGGAATTGAAAGGAATTAGGGAGCTTGGAACTGATTCAGTATGTTAATCAGCTTCATACTTGGTAAAGTTGTAAAGAAAGATTTCACTTTTGCTAATGAGTTCTATTCCATTTATACTTGCCATCTGAGCATTACTGTAAAACACCATAAAATACTAGTCTGCCAGCATATTTTTAAAAAAGCAAACAGTTTTCAACACACTGTTATTAAGTTTTTGGCAAACCTATGTAAAATATCATCTCAACTGTGGAAGAGTTTAAGCAGTTGGAACCTCTGTTAATTCAGAAGTAAACTAAAGTAAAGGCTTTTTATCTAAATGTTAGGTTAGGGTTATCCTTTGATAATATATAAAATTTTGTAGCGGAAGGATAAGTCTAACATATGAAAACAGTATCAAAAGCCCTCCCAACATCTGAAACCAGACACGCATCGGTCTTCATAAGACAAACATACAATGACAGCAACTGGTGACTTGATAATGGATTTAAAATCTTCATCTTATTTTTTCTATTGTAAGCTTATAAACAAATTTATACACTGCAAGTTGCTTTGGAGACCACTAAACAAAAAATTATATTTGGTCAGTCTCCACAAGTTTCACTATTTTCCCTTTCTGTAGATTTTCACACTTGCATACACTTCATTTTCTTCAAGCATAAATACATGCAAAGTTTTACTCAGCCAACAGAACAAAACTCACCTCTTCCTAAGACACAAATAGCCATTAAATTTGATGAATAATAAGTAGAATGAAACTTTAATAGCTCTTGTCTTACATCTATTCCTTCTTTGGTTGGTCTAGTTTCCAGTGTGAGTTTGTTCCCTGTAACATAAAAAAAACCCTTAACAGTAGTTGATATTTATGAATTTACAAATCAAAAAGAAAAAAATATAAATTAATAAATCTGCTTTCCTCCAGATGAGTGGTGATTTTAAAAATAATTACTGTGCACAATAAGTAAACTGGAGCAATACTGTCTCAGCTTATCAAAGACAATAAATACTCTCAATCTGCACATTCCTAAATGACTGAGGATGTTTTAGTCTTCCAAATTAATCTTTTTAATTTGAATGTGTTATTTCAAGTCAATGCAAGTAAGCACAGGCTCTAATTAAGAAGAAAAAGGTTTTTCTTTGCCACAATTGGAGTAGGTTTTACTCCATATACACACTCCTGTCATAGGAATCACTGTGTGAAATTATTTGTGGCATTGTGCACCACAAATTACAGCCTTGTATATTAAATTACATAAATAATTTCTAACTTTAAAACATGATTTGTAAATTGTGACAGTTCAGCTTCTGCTTCACAAAGAGCTGAGCTGTTGCTGCAGTAGAGGAACACTAGACACAACTCTCCCTGAATAAGCCCATAAGTAGAAGATATCAAACTTTCTCCATTAAGTTATCCTCCTGTTAAATAGTGCAATCTTTACATCAAGCTTTCAATAATTTACTCTAAAGACATATTCTACATTTATTATCGAAGCAGAACTTGTGTTTAGTAAAGGTAAGAACTCAAAATAACAGAAACATTAAGAGTCTATGAAGAGCACACTGGATTTTAATCAACTTCACTTTCCACTACTACATAAACATGTGAAATGGTCAACAAAATCTACACACCATAACTGCAAACTAATACTTTATCTTTGAACTTTGAGATCAGCAACTCCCTTAAGCCATAAACAGATCAGGTACAGAGAGAGCAAGGGATAAGGAGGAAGAATAAGGCAAGAAAACACAGCACAAGCTGACTTGTGTGTTTGTAGGAAAAACAGCAAGAAAGAAATGACAAGGAAAGCATGCCTGCTATGCATATATGCCCAGTGCACAAATCCAGTCACAGATCTAATACAAATCAATGAGGCAAAATTATCTACATAAGTATATTGTCCAGATGTTTTGTGATTATATATAATTACAACAGTCAACAAATCATCATAGAGGCTGCATGATTTAATTTTCAAAGTTTACTTATGAGTGAAAGCAAGGATTCTTAATGATACCTAAAAAGGATAATTAGGGTATTATGTTTAAAATACTTTTTCTATATTCCCTACCATCTTCACACAAATGAAATGCAGAAGTTTTAGATATCCTACTGTGTTTATTCCTGCAGAATCAATAGAGGTAATACCAAAACCAACACACACACACTCCCACACAAGAGAAACACAGCTTTAGTTCAGCAAATGTGCTGTTACAGTACTGGAGTACACTAAGATACAACAGTCGGCAAACACCTTGGTGAAGTAGGAAAATGGACACTAGACAGTGCAAAAGTGCCCAGGGAACCTGATACTGTTGAGAGTACTGATGGAGAAGAATTACCATCACAGGCATTAATTCAGGGAGATGAGTGTAGGGTATCTGGGGACAAAATGCACATTCTAACAAAAAAAATATGTAAGATTGAGGTACATTTGTTTCTCTGGACATACAAAGAGTAATAGAAGATTTGCTGGCAAAACAGGCTGCACAGCAACAAGGAGTGACATGAAACATCGAATGAAGCCAGCCATTTCTGTATTCTGCTAGACTAAAATCTCAGCTGGTCAAGAGGAAAACAGTAAGAACAATACCAACTGCAATTATCATGAAAACTGTATTACAGTTGTCATCTCTTCAGGTAAATAAAAACCAAAGCTGGGCTCTACATCTGCAAAGTCAGATCTACAGGTAGGGTATGTGCTATTTCAGAATCAGAGCCTAATCTAAGAAGTCGTCAGTGTGACCCTTGCTACTGAATTTGAGCACATTTCAGGTATTCTCCCCCTGAAAACATTTCACTTGTGTCAGCTATAAATCCTTCTTACATCGTAGAAAACTATTTCTGCAACTTTCACTTATGTTTTCTGAGTGCTATATAAAAATTAAATAATCTCTTCAGTAGCAGAGATTACAGAACATATATTGGATGCTTGCCTACCTATCAATACGTAGTTCCCAAATTTATTTTCAGATTTACCTGTTTGGAGAATGCTATTAGTGTTTCCCTGTTTCTGACTGCCTCTCTTTGCTGGTGAACAGAGCAATACATGCTCTTGTAGCAGCTGACTACCAGCTCCTTAACTATGCCCTCCATCAACAGGTGCAAAAATAATCTTCTCTTTCTCAAGACAATGGAAGAAACCAGCCTAATCCTATTATCTACCCTCCCATCATCCTACTGTACCCAATATCTGCCTAAACTATTCATCCAGTAAACTCACCTAGTCACAAAACACATTCATGCTCAAGGATTAAACGATGAAGTGCATGAATTAATAGCCCTGTTACTTCAATAGTTTCAAAAATAAATTCATGTAGAAAATAACTTCCGTGAAAAAAAAAAAAAACCAACACGTGGTTTTGAATGTAACTATGGAATCTTACTTTAATGCTTTTTAAATTGAGGTTTTGGGGTGTTTTAAATTATTACTAAGCAGTCTGTGAATAATAAAGCCTGAAACAGCCATAAGATTGGTAATTCTCCAAGACTGTTTTATCTATCCATCTACTACTGTTGCATTTTATGCTTAAGATTTTGCTTTTATATTCTTACTCAGTAATTTTCATGTTACTTTGCTCATCTTTCTGATTTGACCTAGTCACTGTCATCTAGTCCTAATGCAACACTAGTTAGCAAAAAGAGCATGTGGCTAACAACAATTTAAACACAGTTGAGTCACTTTGTTTTGCACAAAGACTTAACAGTACCAAATTATTACAAATCTAGTAATTAGAAAATGGCATTCACTGCAGTAATTATCAGAATCATAAAGGATGCTTCATCACTGTACTGCAAGTCTTGGAGCACTCTGTTTCCTATGTTTTTGTCTAGCTCTGTTTGGTCTATGATGTGGAAAATGTAATAAAGCACCATAATAAACATGTATGGAGAGGGGAAAAAAGGGAATTGTTGCAGTATGTCCTTAACAATTTTATATAAACAATAATACTATGCATGTTACCCAGAACTCCAATGGATAGATAATTATATTCTCACAAACCTGTTCCAAATTTACTGAAGGGATGATTGGGGTTTCCAGTAGCCTTCTCCAATTGAAACAACCTCCAGGCATCATTCATCAGATTCTTTTCGTGCTCAGAATCAACAGCATTCACTTCCCTGTCTTTGCAGCTTTCATCAAATAAAGGGCACAGGAAAAACTGGGCAAATCTAAACAGAAAAATTTTAATTCAAGTCAAAAGTACTTTACATAAATGGTAAGAGAAAAATATGAAGCTTGGTAGCTCCTAAAACCAGCTGAATATATATTTTTTTTTAATGCAGAACTTAGAAATTCTGTAACAGTTTTGACACTGATTCACAATATTTCTCAATTTCTTTATCTAAAACACAGACAACAACATATTAATCACATAAGGTACTACAAGGGTCAAGGCCCTTGTATCAGAATTCATACACTGAAAATTTCTATTGTTTTGAAGTTTAGCTGCAAGAGGGTCTTAATCACACAAATCAAATCAGTCTTGTCAGACATCCAGAGAAAATTCACTCTATCTCACTGACTACACATCTTTCAATTTCTGTCCCCTCCCACAAAAAGCAGGGAATTCAGTGAGTTTCCTTTACTAAAGGCATCCCAATATATGTATAGACTTCATCCTTCTGCTATCAGTGAAATAAGGCCCTATGGGATGCATAGTATTTGATTATGCAGTTGAGCATTTCCACAATGTGTAAGTTCACAATCATATTCTCTGCCCCACATTTCCAGAAAAATTCAGTGTGAACACAACCTCTGAACTTCAGAAGTTCTACCTCAGTGAAGAACTCTGCTAGCCAAAAAAAATCCAAGCAAAACTTCTGAACTGAAAAATATCTGGTATTGGTTTAACAAAACATAGCGCTCTCACTCCTTTCTTTAATATCGTAATGATAAAGCTATCAAACAACTTTTACACAATTTCAAATAGCACCCATATAACAACAACAACAAAAAAACTGTTTACCTGTCTAGTGCACCTTCTAGATGTTCATGTGACACATCGAAGTAATAGTTGGTATGTTCTCCACTTGTGAAAGCATTTGAGCTCCCAGCATGCTCACTAAGAAACTGGCTATATTCATTCTCTTTTGGATATTTCTTGGTTCCCAGGAACAGCATATGCTCACAAAAATGACTAAGCCCAGCAATGTTGGGGGGATCAGACAAGGATCCTGCAGGAAGAATAATTTAATGTAACCATTCATAAAAACTAATACTAAAACGACTTTTAAAGTGCTTTGTATTACAGTATGTTGCCTCAGACAATTATATCAATTCTGTAAACACTCATGCAGCTACAGTCAACTAAACTCAATCTTAAAAAAAAATGAGAATGAGTAGCTGAACCAATTAGTGTCTCAAATTGCCTCTCCAGATCAGCCTGCATTGCCTTATAGAGACTATTTTTCAACTGAAGTCCATGACTCATAATCTGTAGAGACCTGGCAGATCACAATGTTGACTTGTATACCTTGACTTAATAACTGCACTGTGTTAAAGATCAGCAACTATACCAACCACAATTAAGGAGGTATTTATCCTGTGGTTTCTAGGACAAGTGATAACCTGTAATTGCCTGAACACAAGCAGCTATTGATGACCAGCTAGTAGGTATGAAGGCAGTCAGATTAAAAGACAATAACGATGTGCAAGAATGGAAGCCAGAAACATGGAAATGAAGTCTTCGAGTCTGGCAGTCCTGCTTTGGAGTGTGCAACAATGTTCAATGGGAGAGTACAGATGAGAGCAACAGATTCATCTCCTCCAATGCATGTGCAGGAACTGGATGCTGCAGTTGGCTATTGCTGTCACAGTACCTAACAAAACCTCATTCATGATCCTCTAAACTAGATGATTTGTGACAGCCATCTCCATAATAAAAAGGGCCACACATTTTCAAAGTTACTCTACTACTTCTGTCCTAACACCAACAAGAGCTCCCAACTACAAACATGGCAAGAGGATGCTTAGGTAACGTGTGCATGCATCATACTTTCCAAGCAACTGAGAAACTACACAAGCTTGAGAAATACCTCAGATATAAGAAAAGGTTTCCATTATTCCAAAGAGTCAAAGTAACTGCCTTCCCCTTCTATTTCCAGTATTTGTTTGTACACTTAAACATCACTGGAGTTAGGGAGTGTCTTTCCAACTCCTCCAGCACTACAGCATTTTCTCATCTCTACACATCAACAACTTGACATGAAAAAAAAAAAGCCTGACATGACAGATGGAGCTGTCTGAAATAATTGCACTCATACCCGCCCCTTTTCTGCTTACAAAAGATCTTTCATAACATGAAACTTAATGGTTAAAAGAAGTCTTTCTACTGACTGAGCTACACTTGAGTAAACATATAGTAAAATAATTTAATTAGCTCTAATAATTTTCAACTTGATATGTCAAAGAATTAAACAAAACCTAAGTTACAATAAAAGGCTAGGCTGCCAAATGGATACCACTCCTGTCAGTTTATTTGCAATTAAGATATGAAAACTTAAAGCATTTTTATTAATGACATAATGAACACAACATGCATTAAATACCTATGTGCACATCAAGTGCTGCTGAAGACTTATCTGTCGTGGGGTCACTAATGAGAAGAGCTTTAATGCCATTTGCCAATTCCAGGCCACGGTATTCTCGTTTATCCTCAGGTGATTTGATAATTTCATTTGTTATTCTCTTAAGAGCTGGATTGTTCATTTTGTTGTTTGTCTCTTTCTGAAACCTTGAAGAAAACAGAAGAAATTTCACTTACTATTTTCACTTAAGCCCTGCAAATATTTTAATGTTATGTTAGAGAATACCTGGTGATACTGAAAGAAATTTAGTTCTGCACAAAACTCATAAAACTGGCTTAAAAGTATAGTTCAGATCCTGAGAGATATTGCTGTTAAAAAAAAAAAATAATAATCCTGAAGGCCAAGCAACAGGATATAATCATAGGTCAGGTAATTGAAGGTTTCAAGTTTCATACTACTAGCAATTAAAAAAATAACTTAGTAAAGAAATATCATCCTCTTATTCAATTAAGATAAAAATGAAATGAAATATACACATATTATCTCAAGTATATTTTCAGGCTTCAGGTAAGTATTTCATGTGTCTGAATCCATGTTTCTATTATAAATGTTGTAACTTTGTCAAGTAAACAAAAGACCACTGGATTTATACACTCAAGCAAGAAAGGGTGACATCATTTACAATATTGCCATAAAAATACAAAAACACTGCAGAATTGCCATGATAAACAGGAATAGACTATCTCACATGTTTAAACTATTAGTTTAACAGACATACTACAAGACATGCTTCTTTAACGGCACAATTCTGAAATGCTAAGAAACTAAGTGTGATTCTTAAATTATAAACTGGTTACTTGTTTAAATACCAAGTGAAAAAGTGAAACATTCAGACTTGGGATATTTGGGGAGGTAGAGTAGAACCACTTGGCTGCATGTTAAAAAAAACCCAAACAACAAACAAAACCAAGTAAAACCACACCAACACAAAAAAAACCCCAAACAAACAACATACACACACACCCCAAAGCAGCAAACTGCAGAAACAGGAAATCAGAGAGCTATCCTCTGAGCCAATCATGCATTGTACTCCTGTATATAAGAGCCACTGAATTCTAACCCTGTTTTACAAGAAAGGTTTTAGAACAGGGCCTGTTATATAGCACCAACCAAACACAATATTTTCCCATGGTGAAATGTTACTTGCCACATTGCCAAGTAACCTACTACATGAGCTTCCTTAGTCATTGTTGAACTGATTTCACTTACAAAGAAAACCAGGTGTGAGTCTAACTCCCCACCACAACACATATACAGAGGCATGAGAAATTCTGTATGGGCTCTCAGGATCACATAAATAACAAGGAGTTTCACAATATTTACTTTTCCATTTTCAGGTTGTACAGTTCAAGGAATTTCATCCAAGTTTTAAGACTACATACAAGCTTTAAGACCGTATGGGATGTGGAACATGAAGGACTGCACAGTTCTCAACATACTTATTGTTTCAGGTCTTCAGTAATGACATTTTAACTAGCAAGCATACCAACTGCATACTCAATGTTACCAGATACACAAAAAACTTCAGAAATTAAAATAAATCTGTTTATAGATTTTATTTACAGTTTAAAATTACAAATGAAAAGGAGAGTCAGCTAATAAAATCTCCTCCCTAAAATACTATACAATTCTCAAAACTGGAAACAGTTCTGCAAGCTACTGTCCCTCTGGATTATCTTCTTCCCATTTATTCATGTGATTCTATGATATAAAAACAACAGCCAACTTGAAGCCAGCAGATGCATGGTCATCACTGTTAGTGTTATATATTATAATCAGGCTGATAAAGAGCTCATTATTAACAGTGTGTTAAGGACAAAGTTTATGAATATAACACCTACAGCAGAATCAATGAAAAACAGTATTTCACAAATAGAAAATTTTACCTGTAGCAGCGTGAAAGTTTGTATAAGACTGGATTTATGCCTGAGGAAGGAGATACATATGCAAACTAAGTAAGATGACTGAAAAAAAGCAGTAAAGTTAGATTAGATCTTCAAATACTTTTGAAAGAAGTGAAGAAAGACGACTACTTTGGAATTTTTAAATGGACTTAAGTTGTAACGCTCCCTTGTATGAAAGAAAGCAAAATTACAAACAAGAACTATAATCCAAATAAAAAAGTAGAAGCACTGAGTACAGAGCGCATCAACAAATAATCAGAATCTGAACTTAAGCAAGAGCCATAAACAACATGAAGTAACTTTTTAAAAAGTGCAGCTCAATGCATTTTAGAAGGAAACACTTCCACTAGCAAAACATGGTTCTCACACTACAAATTACTTCAAAAGAAAAAAAGTGCAGTCAAGTGTAATCACTAAACAGTAACTGAAACGCTGAATTTAAATGTCTACACTTGCATTTAAACCTGTCATATATCCACTAGTTTAACCCTGTTTGGAATATCTATGGTCTTCCTTCCTCTGAAAAAATGCAGATACCATTCAAAAACAAAGTACAGCAAGTATAGCAACATCTGTGTTTCTATGCATCAACAGCACTGATATAATACATGTTTATGATTTTAAAAATGCCTCCCTGTTCAGAGTCCTAAGCAGAAATTATCACACAGAATCACAGAATGGTTTGAGTTAGAAGGGACCCTAAAGATCATCTAGTTCCAACCCCCCTTGCCATGGACAGGGACACCTTCCACTAGACCAGGTTGCTCCAAGCCCCATCCAACCTGGCCTTGAACACTGCCAGGGAGGGGGCAGCCACAGCCCCTCTGGGCAACCTGTGCCAGTGTCTCACCACCCTCACTGGGAAGAATTTCTTCCTTGGTTCTATCTAACCTAAATATACCCTCTTGCCATTTAAAACCATTACCCCTCTTCCCATACCTACACCCCTGATAAAGAGTCCCTCCCCATCTTTCCTGCAGTCCCCCTTTAAGTACTGGGAGGCTGCAATTAAGGTCTCCCCAGAGCCTTCTCTTCTCCAGGCTGAACAACCCCAACTCTCTCAGTTTGTCCTCATAAGGGAGGTGCTCCAGCCCCCCCATCTTTATGGCCTCCTCTGGACTCGCTCCAACAGGTCCGTGTCCTTCTTATGCTGGGTGCCCCAAAACTGAACACAGAACTCCAGGTGGGGTCTCATGAGATAAGAGCACCTCCTTCGACCTGCTGGCCACAATACACTACTAAACTTGAGATAATGTGTAAATTTTATGAAGTGAGAATAGATACTACTTTTCATAGACAAAAATCAGTAACTAGACTGTTACTTGTATTTCACTTGCACACAATTCTAATGGATTGACAAATACAAGTAAGAGAGCAAGGAGTTGTCTCAATTTCCTGATTTCACCTCTGCTAAGGAACACCTATCACTTGGTTTGCAGCTGAAATATTCCATCTCATTAAGATACTAGTTGATTATCGTAAGATGCATATATACTATAAACTTCTCAAGGTTTTTTTAAAATGTTATACAATTTCCTTGTCATCTGATATCTCCTTGTTATTTCTACACCACATCATTAAGTCACAGAACTTGACTGTTCAGATGACTCATCTTTCCAATGTGATTCACCAAATTACGCAGCTTCTGTGAAATCTTATGAGATTTCAATTGATGTCTTGTGAAGCTGTACACCTCCACTTCATTTTATTATCATTCCCTACTTCTGCCTCCTTCATAGACTACCTCCAGCTTGGAAGTCAAATTTCAGTACAGGAAAAGCCTACCATTTTCAAAAGGTCAAAATCAGTAATTAAGCCTTCAAACCAAGGACATAAACTTGTATCTCCGTCTTCATTGTTATTTCAACAGGCACTGTGAATACAATATCCTCTTCAACTTCAAATGGGTTTGCATGATTAACCCACATTTACTTCCCTGCAAACTAAACTGAAGTACCAGACAACTCATATAAAAGCAAGAGCAGATCACCTATGCAATATTTCGGCAAGGCAAGGCATCAAAAGAACAAGACCAGTACATTCCTGCTTCAGTACTGTTCCTCCTGGTGGTAGGTTACTACAATACAATAGCTAGAAAAGAAAATTTCATTTAAGATAAAGCATTCATACAATGACTTCTTAGGGCATAAACTATAAGACATAACATAAAACATTGCCTCATATGACTGCTTCTGTGCAACTTCTAAGTTCTCCAAGTATAATTGCTTTATAAAAGTATCATGTTCCATTCTTTCAGATAAAAATCCTAAAATGCTACAAACCACTTTTTGATAACAGAACTGCTTTTGACCATAGGGAAAAAAGTTACAGAAAGAATTTTATATTTCTTGTAGTTTTTTGAGAAACAGCTTAATTCCTGAAGTCAAGTCATGCTCAGACACTGTCCTAAAGTACATGTACTGTACCTATTTGCTATGCTGTCATTACAGTGAGCATTGGATGCTGATGGTCACTAGCAAAGAAATTCATCCAAAACTGGATGCTTCATGGATTTTTTGCAGAGCTAATATCCTAACAAAAACATCATTAATAGCCATACTACTTTCATAAAACAGAAGCAACAGAGAAAGACCCAATAAAGCAAAGACAGCAGGAACAAAGCATCACTGTGGCAGTGGGAATTCTTCCAGTGCCTCAGAAATTACAGGTGGCAAGATGACAGAGCTAGGAAGAAAAAGAGAAAAGAATGGGGATATTGACCTGAGAGCAGTGTCCCTATTCAATGACTAGGAAACACTAAAAAACTAGTAAACACTAAATACTACTATTCTTCCTCCTTATCAAAGTTACTTCACTTGTGCAAGAAAAGTATCAGTCAAAACAGATGCTGAATTTTAAACTATAGCACTCTTAAGTAAAATTGTATTCTACTTTTTGAGGCCCTGCTTTTGTAATGATTTCCAGGCAAGCAGTCCCTCAGAACCAGCAAGGCTCTCTGGGGATACCAGCTTCCACCTGCAAACACAGTACTACAGAGCAGGATTAAGTGATATATTATCCTGCCTAACTATTTTAATCTTTCAAAGTTATTTTAGTAAATTTACTTTAATTAAAAATTAGCCAGTGTAGTCAAGTTTAAGTTCCATGTTTCAACAATTAAAGGACTGTATTTGAAAACCAATTAACAGAAACTCCTGAGGGCTGTTTCAATGCAAAAATGTAACTAGATAATAAAAATATGACCCCCAAAGCACAAACTCCAAAGCACTTTTCAAGAT